CACACACACACACCTGCAGTATACCTGTGCACATATAGTAACCTGCACACGTGCACACACACACACCTGCAGTACACCTGTGCACATACGCTGTACTAACCTGCACACACAGACCTGGAATATACATGTACACACAAATACACCTGTGCACATATGCTGTAGTAACCTGCACACGTGCACACACGGACCTGTAATACACATGCGCACACACACCCCTGCAGTACACCTGTGCACATATAGTAACCTGCACACGTGCACACATGGACCTGTAATACACATGCACACACATATACCTGCAGTACACCTGTGCACATATAGTAACCTGCACACATGCACACACGGACCTGTAATACACACGCACACACCTGCATGCACACCTACACTCTCATCTGCAACATGCATCCCTGCAATATACCTGTGCACTTGCACACTCACCTGCACGGCCTCTCTTTTGGTCTCATTCAGTCCGTCCTCTAGAGCAGTGTTTTTCAACCTTTATAATTTCATGGCACACTTGAATCTATAGTTAAGCTTCTGTGGCACACTTAAATTATGTTGCTCAAGAAAAAAAAATAAAGAATATACTTACTGTGTTTTGAACTTCTTTCAAAAATAATTTAATTATCTTTAAAATTTTTCACAGCGCACTGGTTGCAAATCACTGCTCTAGACTGTGGCCTGGGTGGTCTCCTTAAAGCACAAGCTGATCGTGCCACAACTTTCTCAGCAGCCGTTAGGGCCACAGACGAGGTATAGGGCAGAGGATTTGCAGAACCAGTGGCCTGAGAGACTCTTATCCCAGCACATTGCTTTGTAGGGAAGGGGGTGATACAGTCACCTGAGTGAAAGGGGGAGTGGCCAGTCTGTAGATCTGACTAGTTTTTTTTTTTTAATACTTTTCTTTATTTTATTTATTTTATTTTTTAGTTTTTTTAGTGTTTTATTTGGCAGGTGAGTTGTTACACACTCCTTGGCAGATTCCAACTTCCATGGCTATCGTCCTGAGTAGCCTACCTACTCAGTACCTACCGGATCTGAGTAGTTTTTCGATCTAAGAGTCCATGTGGTTCTTTCTGGAACATTCCAGGCCCACAGGCCCCTGAGCCTAGGGAAGCTGCCAGTCCCTGCAGACACCCAGGTGCCCTGCCCTACTTGTAAGGCCTTGTCCATGCTGCACCTTAGACAGTGTTTCCTTCAAGCTGCAAAGGTCCCCAGGGCGAGCTTGGAAAGAGGACAGTGTCCCTCAAAAGCGGCCTCAGCAGGGTCAGGGTGCACGGCAGCGTGTTGAGTGTTAGGTGTGTGTGTGGTCAAAGCTTGTGTGTTTTTGAGAATCTTTTCTGTGTGTGTCTGTGGACCGGGTGTGGGAGTGTGAGCTGGTGTCGGGCGTGTGATGAAGTGTGCGCTTGTGTGTTGGGTGAGTGTTGGGTGTGCATTGGCCCTGTGCTTGTGTGGGTTGGGTGTCAGGCATTGCTGTAGGTTCACTCTGGCAGGGAGAGCTGGGCTGTGATTTGAACCTGACGCCCACATTTGACCCACTCCTTCCTCCTCAAATCAAGGACCACGTGGGCAAGTGGAAGCATCTGGCATCGACTCAGCAGGGCCCGCAGGTTGAAGCGAGGCCATTCCCGGCAGAGGGACAGGCTCACACCGAGGCCTGGAGGCAGGAGATCACCCAGCATACCTGGGAAGGCTGTGGGCACGGAGAGCAGAGGGCAGGAAGCAGTGGGAGCAGCCTGGATTGCAGACTCATAATCGGCAGAGGCCCTGGCACCAGAGCAACTAACTGTCGACAGCTCCCTTTGTGGCACCCCCAGGGTCCCCTGAGGAAGGCAGCCCCTTCATGAAGCGTCCTGTGGGTCTCTCAGGGCATCCCCCGAGTAGCCCAGGGAGGCATCAGGCCAGGGCTGGTTGTCCCATTGGATAGGTGAGGACAGGAGACAGGAGGGAGGGAGCGTCCTGACACCCACAGTTCAGCATAGGCTGAGGGACTCCTCACCGGTGTCTCCTCCTTCCTGGGCACAGGTGCTGTGTGTGGATGGGCCACCGCAGTTCCCAAAGTGCTGCCTTCTAACTTCCAGGCTTCTCGCCAGCCCTGAAAGGCAGGAGTTTTACATTTCTTTGTATAAACGGGACACAATCATGTGTGAGAAATTTTGCAAATGAGAAGAGAACAGATGACTTCAACCCACCTCAACCTGGTGGCCTTGGTGCCTGTCTTGATGGAGTATTTGCACTTGGGCCCATCTTTGTCCATGGAGGAGACAGTACTTAGTGCCAAGACTAGTAAGTGCTCGGCATGGGGTAACTCTTACAGATCACTGCTGGGGTTTTAGAGTTGAGGAGGGTCTGAAGCCCGGTCACCCCTCCTCTTGGACGAGGTACTTTTCCTCTCTGCCTCGTGTTCCCGTGGGGTTGTTGAGAGGATAGTTAATAACGGGCATTGTTCAGTTTAGCATCCTGGCTAAGAAGTTTCCCAGTATTCATCGTACCCATCATCGTTCACAGCAGCATGGCGTCAGTTGTGCAGACTGTACGCAGTCTACTTGGCTTTACCCCGACTGTTGATTTTCCACAATTCATAATTTGTAACAAGAATGTTTAATTCACTATCTTTTTGCATAAAGCTTGTCTGATCTCCAATCTTAACCTTGGCCAGGAGCCCAGAACTAAGATGTCAAAGGGAAATTTGGACATAGCTCTGTGTGTGCGTGTGTGTTCCCATTAGGCTCAGTCGCATAGCAGCCTCCAACCCCAGGGGCCTCTGTTCCCACCAACGCTGCCGCCCACCAGTCCAGGCCTGCTGCAGAAAAGGGCAAGGATGCTCCCTCGCTAATGTGTTAATAGGGGCTGCTCCCTCTGGAGCTGACATCACTGCTGAAATATTACCATCCATGATTTGCAGTGGGTTGGTCCCTGCACCAGTCTGGAATCCCTTATGGGACAAAATTCTGTTTCCACCCAAAGTGAGCGTGCATGCTTTTAGGAAACTGATGGCATCGTGAATAAAATTGAATCCTAACTCCCCTGAGGTTGGTAAAGGAGAGAGAAAACCTGGTGGCCTTGGGGCCTGTCTGGGGAGTCATGTCCCTGGTAAGGGGCCTGTTTCAGCTGCTGTTCCCTGCCAGCCTGAGGACACTGCTTCCCAGGTGGTGAGTTGGCTCAAGCTTGGGCATGACCTTCCCTGATGCCCCAGGTTTCCACTCTGCTGCTTCCTAGACGGGTGACCTGAGCTGAGCCCTGCGCTGTGACATGCCCATCTATAATCGAGGGATGAGGGTAACAATGATACCTACCTCGCAGAGCTGTTGTGGGGGATTAAAACATTTCATACGTGTCTCAAAATAGGGCCTGGCACATAATACACACTCAATGAATGTTAGCTGTTGTTGTTCTAGCTCAGAAATGACTTTGCTTTTGCAATTGTATGTCCGATGAGGGACTTGTACCTAGACTATATTAAGAATTCTTACAACTCAATAATAAAAAAGGTAAACCAATCAAAAAATAGGCATAGGACCTGACTAGGCATTTCTCCAAGGAGGATATACAGATGGCCAGAGGCATGTGAAAAGATATTTAACAAAATTAGCCGTCGGGAAAATGCGAATGAGAACTGTAATGAGATACTACTTCACATCCACTGGGATGGGAGTAAGATGGTCAGCGAGAAGTGTGGCAGGATGTGGAGAAACTGGAACCTTTCATACAACTTCGGGAGTTTGAATAGTGCAGTGGCTTTGGAAAACTTCTGCAGTTCAACATGATTGTCATATGATCCATCAGTGCCACTTCTAGGTATCTACCACAGAGAAGTGAAAACAAGTGCCCACACCGAAATTTAGCACACGAATATTCCCAGCAGCATGACAGACAGAATGTAGAAACAGCCTAGGTGTCTGTCAATGGATGAGTACGAAAATAAAACGTGGTATGTCCATGCAATGGGCTAGTCCCTAGCCATGAAAATAAAGTTCTGATCCGTGCTGCCATGTAGGCGAGCCTTGCAAACAGATGCTGAGTGAAAGAAGGCAGACACGAAAGCCCACATGGCGGGTGATTCAACTTACACCAAGGGTCAAGAGTAGACATATCTGTAGAAATAGAGAGTGGGGATTAGTAGAGGAAGGACGAGGGTGTGACCAGCTGCTAAGAGATACAGAGTTTCTTTGGAGACTTATTGATAAAAGTGTTCTAAAATTGATGGTGGTGCTGGTTGCACTGTAACACCTTGAATGTTCACAAAACCACAGAATTTTATACTTTAAATGCATGGATTTTGTGTTATGTGAATTGTATCTCAGCAGATCTGTTAAAAAAAAAAAGGACTTGTCTAAGAGCTCATGAACCACCATAGATCTGACAGAGTGTAAATTCAACCAGAAAATCTGTCCCCCCACCCCCAACCTTCCTTTTAGGGCAGAGGCTGTCTGTAACCCTTACCTTGCCAGAGCCCCTCAGCAACTTCTGAGCTCCCTATAAGACCTGTCCCCAGAAGCTAAGCCTGGGGTTCTGGTTGAAAGTCAGTGCGATAAAGTAGCAGAAGCCTGAGCTGGGATGACACTGGCATGACAGCATTGTCATAGGATGAGCTGAGGTCATGGGTGTGAGCATGCAGTGTCATGGGAGCCCTTTATCCCCTCCTGCCAGGAGAACGCCCTGCCCATGATGGACGTGGGACCATCACAGCAGCATGCTAAAGGACTCGGCAGGTGAACACTCACTCAGTGCTGTGTGCAGAGCTCAGTTCTCTCATTAGAGATAAACATACACGGGGCCTTTTGTTGAAAGGTCAAAGTTTTATGTTGGTGTGATAGGGAGGCCCTCAGCACTCGCGCACCAAGCCTGCCTGCAGGAGCCCTGGGCACACACAAGGTGCCAGAGCCAGAAGGGGCCTGCGGGATCGTCTTCGGCTCCTTCCCCTCTGTCTTACAGATGGTGAAACTGAGGCCTAGCAGGGTGGTGCCGTGGGAGAGAGGAAGTGCACTGAAGCCACTCAGGCTGGGTTCAGGTCCCAGTCGGCTGGGTACTCCTGCGGTGGTCCAGGCAGGAGTCATCTTTCTGATGTGAAGTTGTTGAGAAGATAAAGTGGGCGGACCAGGTCTAGTTAGAGCTTGAGGCTGGAGAGGAGAGACCCACTGTGTGGGTCTCAGAGAGGCCCCTGTACAACAGCAGCAGGGAGACAGCCGCAGGGATACGTGAGGGAGAGGCAGGAGGAGTCTGTCCTTGAGTTGGTTGTTATTTTGTTGAGACAGTCTCTGTTGCCCTGGGTAGAGTGCCATGGCATCACAGCTCATAGCAACCTCAAACTCCTGGGCTCAAGTGATCCTCTTGTCTCAGCCTCCTGAGTAGCTGGGACTACAGGTGCCCACCACAACGCCCATGAATTTTTCTATTTTTAGTACAGACAAGGTCTTGCTCTTGCTCAGGCTGGTCTCAAACTACTGAGCTTAAGCAATCTACCCACTTGGGCCTCCCAGAGTGCTAGGATGACAGGTGTGAGCCACCGTTTCTGGCTGTCTTGAGTTTTGAAAAACAAACATTTGTAAAAGTTTTATCTGCTTATTACAGATACACACTTAAAACACAATAAAGCACAGATAAGAAAACAAAAGTCCTCTGCGCTGTGCAGTCCCAGAGAGCGCCAGGGTCGGACCTCTTCGGGCTGCTTGAATAAGATAGACGTCTAAGAAATAGACGTCACAAACCATGTTTCCAGCGACGAGTCATTCTGTTCTGGTGACCCCTGACAGCAGGCTTGGCTCAGCACAAAGGGAGAGGCAGGGAAATAGAATTTGTCAGACCCAGCCTGCGCCTGATTCGCCAAGCTGTGTTCCAGAATGTACAGTCATTCCAAAGATGATGAAAACCCACTGTGTGGCGGTTAGCAAATGTGTTTTCAAGTACGGGGCTGATGGTTCCAGGCTGGAGCAGGCCCATGCCCCCTCCCCGAGGGCTTTGGCTGTTGGGGAAATTCTGAGGGCCCGGCTGCGCTGGGGGAGTGTTGCCTGGGCAGGGCCTGGGAATTGGAACCTTACAGAGATAAGAAACTCTTCCCATCCATGAAAAGCAGGAGCCAGAGGTGAAAGTGCAGCAGCCTCAGGCTGGTTCTGTGTGACAAGAGATGGAGCTGCCTCGGGAAGTCCGCCGGGGCCCCTTCTGCTACCTCCACCCGTGGGCACCCTGGAGCTGAGGGCTGCTGTCCTTTCTCTGGGGGTGAGGAGAAGAGGTTCTGAGGCCAAGCTTGGAGAGCTCTGACTGGGGTCTGGAGACCCAGCTCCCTGGCTCAGCAGCATCATGGATGCGCTGATGCCCCCAGCCAGTCTCTTCTCCTTCCTCAGCCCCAATCTCCCCACCTGTAAAAGGAGCAGCCTTCCTCTGATGTCTGTCCCCTTCACCTCACACCTTCTGTGGTTTGAAAGGGGCCGGGCACAATGACTCACACCTATAATGCCAGCGTTTTTCAAGGCCAAGGTGGGAGGATCACTTGAGGCCAGGCGTTCAAGACCATCCTGGGCAACATAGCAAGACTTCATCTCTATAGAAAATAAGAATAATTAGCTGGGCATGGTGCTGCACTCCTCTGGTTCCAGCTACGTGGGAGGCTGAGGTAGGAGGATTGCTTGAGCCTCGCCTAGGCTGCAGACCAAGACCTTTCTCTTAAAGACAGACAGAAAAGGTAAAGAAGAGCCTTTCTCTGTACCCAGTGGCGAGGTGGGACAGGGTGGCTCACCCAAATTGGGCAGATTGCTACACTTGGCAAACATGCCCTGAGCACTTTCTGGATGTCCAGTCCATCACTGGGCCCTGGAGTGACAGGCCACAGACATAGAGGGCTGTCCCGTATCTGAGTCCCACCTCTAGCTAGAGGGGCGCAGAGCCAGATAGTTACAAGGCCGAGTGCAGGTGTTGTAACGGAGTGAAGGGCATGGTGGGGACGCCAGGGGAGCCTGCCCTAGTGGCAGGGGAATCATGGAAGGCTCCTGAAATGGTGGCTTATGAGCTGAAGCTTTGAGGATGGGCAGGACTTAGCCACATGAAGTGACAAGAGAGGGGCGTTCTGGGCAGAGAATGGTGGGAGCAGAGGCCTGGCAGGGTGGGTGCGTGGAGTGTGCCGCTTCTCACTGACATATATATTGTTATTGGTGGGTGGGCCTGGTCCTGAGCCCAGAGGTGGCAAGCCCTACCATCTCTCATCCCATTGCTCCTTACAATAAACCTGCAAGCAGGGAGTGTCTACTCCATTTTTTAGAGGACACATCTGGGACCAGAGAGATGAGGTAGGTAACCTGCCTAAGGACACAGCTAGTCAGCAGCAGAGCTGGGACTTGAACTTGGTCTTCCTCACCCAAAGCCTATACCTCAGGGATGCGTCCCTAGATACCTGGCTGAGGGTGTGAAGCTCGGTATTAGAGGAGCACCCTCCTTCCTGGTGCTCTGTGGCCCGTGGGTGCTAGGAGTGGAATGTAGCTGTGCTCTGCCATCCAGGTTTGTGGCTTAGACTTTCTGTGGCTCCTTAGGAATGTGCCTGTCACCACTATTTAATTAAGCTGGCTACTCTTCCCCCCTCAAGATGCCTTCATCATCACTGCTCACCATGTGTGGAGCAGGAGCGGGGTGATATTACTCCAGGCACCCAGGTCCTCAGAATGGCCATGGGTGGGTATTGGGTCTCCTGATGCGGCGTTTTGATATTGGTCACTCTCTGTGTCTTCCTGAATCCTCAGACCTCCTCTGGAAGTCATTGTGTTGTCCCGTATTTTTATGTGGAACCTAAGTTCAGAGGAAAGCCCTTTGCCCACATCACACAGGACAGGAGCAAGTGTCTTGTCCGGATCTGGCTCAGATCCTCCTGGCTCCACATGGAGGAGGGAGAGTCCAGGGTTCTGTTGTGACCTGTAGCAGCTTGCCCATGGTCACATGCAGAGCCAAGAAGTCTGGAATTGCAACCTGGATCTGCTCATGGAAGCGTTACACTGCCCTCTGTCACTTTTTGAAAACTTCATTAGAATAGTATCATATAAAATATAAAGCAGTAAGTGTGATGTGAAAAGAACTACAGAGGAAATACAAGGAAAAACAGAAAAGTTACCTTTAACTACATCACTTAGAACTAACCATCTGGAGTATTTTTACAGGCCGTTGTCTATGTGTATGATAATTACACTCTACTAAAATAGAATTATACTATACTTATTGTTTGGTAACTTGCTTTTTCCACTAGCAGTGTATTCTGGACATCTTAGTTGACTATATGAGAGAGAACATGAACGAATGGCGAGTGAATGAATGAATTGGAGTCTGCCCTGTGATGCCACTGGACGAGCCAGGCTCTGTGAACTCTGTCTGGACAGCCTCCCCAAGGAGCCGGGAGCCTGTGTCTCTGTCCTGTCAGGCTCCCTGTCTTCTGGATTGCAGTGTCTCTGTCTGCACAGGGGTCACAGGTGGCCGTGGACTGGGTCACATCTGATGGTGACAGGGTCACTAACCTCATCAGGCAAACAAAGACACCGAATCTTAGAGGGGCTGGGTGATTTGTACCAGTCACAGAATTGGAGGGGAGTTAGGATTTGAACCCAGGCTTGGGCAATACTAGGGCACTCTTTCTCCCCAAATAGGCATGTGGGAGCTGGAAGAACCTACACTATACCAAAGCTGGGGGACAGCGGAAGCCTTGGTAAGCCTAGCCTTCTCTGGGCAGCTTTGGTGTCCTCACCTGTAACATGGAGGGCCTTGGGGGTCCAGCCAGTACTGACATTGTGTGAGTCTTAGATTCCCACGCAGATCAGCACAGCTACCCAAAACTCTGGATTGGGGGGGGACCCAGAGAAGAGGTGGGCATAGGACCTGCCCCAAAGCCTAGAACCTCACAGAGGAGCCAGTGCTGGAACTGAGCCCTGAGACGTGAGGGAACAGCACATGCAGATGAAGCAGAGACTGGGGGTTCCAACGGCCTGAGCAGGCTGTGTACTTGGGGCCTAGAGAGGGAGCAGCGAGCTCGGCCGGGAGGGCCACAGAGGTCAGATATGGAGAGGCTGAACTGGCCAGGCTGCGCGCGTGGCCTGAGGGCAGTGGGAGCCATGCACAGTTCTGAGAATGATAAGGGCAGGCTCGCAGTTTAGGCGTCTCGCTAGCTGTAGGTAGATGTTGGATTTGGGGGTGGTGACTGGGGAGCAAAGCAACAGGATGGGCACCTATCTGGCCCCTGTCAAGTGGCCCGGAGGCCCCAGCCACACCCAGCCTGCTCCCCCTGGACGGAGCTGCAGCTCCTCTCTGTCCGCAGCCCCGCTGGCAGCCCCGGGCCCGGCTGGGCCTGAGTGCCAAGCAGCGATTTATTTTCTGTAACTTATTGGTGCCCGAGTCATAGCTGAGTGGCTCAGCACAATGGCATCCTTCTCTTTTTGTCCTCCTTAATTTTAGAAGCCAAAGCTAAATGTTTTAATTTTACGTTATTCCTGACATAATGCTAATGAGTTCCAGGCGTCCCCCTGAGTCGGGACGGGCAGCTCTGCAGAGCCAGGCATCTGGGCTGGGCCAGGCTTCCCGAAGCACCCCTCCTGCCGCACCCCCTGGGTTCTCCGGGGCGCCTCGCAGTGTGTTCTCCTTAGGCGCTTCCCGCTTTCTGCTTTCTCGTGTGGACAGAACTTTTCCAGTTTAGACGGCTGGTTCTCTCACGTGGTGACCACAGGGTGCTTCTCCTCTGCCCCGGAGAGGGAGGGCTCGCGTGAGAGCAGGGCAGCCTGGCTGGCCCGCAGAAGGGCCTCCGACTCCAGGACTCCCAGACTCAAGGGAGCGGTGGGGTGCCTGTCCCACAGCCTTCTGGAGCTTTCCGATCTGCTTGGGGCCGGACAGTGGGAGATTTAGTGTATTATTAAGAGAAACCATTACTCTCCTTGCAATGGCTGTGACTGCTAGTCTTATTTTCTAGTGACATGGAAACATCTAGTTCTTTCTTTCTAGTCATTTCTTTCCTCTGGCCCGGAGTTTTCTGAATCCATAGACCACTCTGCTTTTGATTTAATGCAACATCTGAACAGGGGCAAGGTCTCTGGCGTCAGGCTGCCCTGGGCTCCTTCCCCTACCCTGGGTCCCTTCCCCTACCCTGGGTCCATCCCTGAGAATTCCTCAGCCCTGCTCTGTGGGAACCCTGTGCCTAGTCTCTCCAGGAGCCTTGGTTTACTGTGGCACCTTTCATCTAGGGCATTCGGAAGGTTAAGCAGGGCACCATGCAGAAAGGGTTGGGGTGCCCGTCCAGGAGAGCTTCCCCCCTTTTCCCTTGCCCACATCCCCGGGAGGAAGGCCAGC